AGATCTTGTATCGCGTATTAATTCTTCTCTTAGTGTTGCTATAAAATTTACAATTCTTTAAGAGTACTCTGAATGTTTTGTTTGGTGGTAATAAAAAGAATGGAAGAAAAATGTCTTAATTTTCTGAGCTGAAAGTATATTCGATAGTTTTAAGAAATGCAAAGCAATTTTATTTGAGAAATTAAGTCTTAAAAATGTGTTTTCAGTCTTTTAAAAGTGCTTTTATAGTCTGTCAAACAATCAAAGTTGTACATTAGATAACTCTCTAAAGCCTTAAGAGTCATTAATGAAAATGTGGGTAGATTCTCACTTCAAATTCTTGTGTGTGAATTTATACTGATTTTCTTTGTCATTGTATATTAAGTGGCAATAATCCAAATTAAAAATGTTTGGATTATTATGATCAGAATTCAGAATCTTCTTTGGTCTTATATCTTCTTTGTGCTCAGCTGCCCCATCTAAAGATGGCAATGCAATTTTATTTGTTGGAAGGCAAGTCATTTTGTAAATAACATCTTTTAATCTTAAGTTATGTAACTCTAGTTTTATGAACAAGTAAACTTTTATGAACAAGTAATAAAGTGCCACTTTTAATAGTGCTTTAAATTTTGATTGACTTAATAAACAGGCTATTATTTTACACAGAATTATAATGGTGTAAATTCATGTCAATAATGAATGAATCCAATACTCAAATTCATTTAAATCTATGAAAGTTAAAATGAAATGTTGGCATTAAATATTTACGTTGCAATTGTCTCTCCCCTGAAGCTAAAAACTAAGTGAATTACACAAACCTAACACTGTTCTTACTTTGCAAGTTTTAGAAGTTTTTATGTTTTCTTGGGAATTATTTCAGAATGTGTATGTTACTTTAAGTTTGCATGGTTTCTATACAGTCTAGTGATTGTTACGGACAGTATTTCCCAAATGCTCATCTCCCCTGAAATGTTCACCAGTTGAAAAAAACTGTTTTTTTTTTTAAAGGAAAAACTCAAAAATAAACCTGTAGATTTATTTAATTGATAAGTATCTTAGTTTGTATCTTGAATGGGCCCTCAAGACCCTGTATAAAGGATTGGACCCCAAGTGATGTCACTACTGGAAGGTGGTAGAACCTTTAAGAGGTGGGGTCTAATGGAAGGAAGTTAAGTCATTAGGAGCCTATTCTTGAAGGGGATATTGGAACCCCACCCTTCCTCATTTTTTTCTCCTCTCTTTCTTATGTTTTGCTTCCTGGCTGCCATAACGTGAACAGGCTTCCTTTGGAATCTGCTCCCAACATGATGTTCATTGCCACCACAGGCCCAAAGTAACAGGCCCCAGTGACCATGATCTGAAATCTATAAACCATGAGATAAAATAAATCTTTCCTTCTTGTAAGTTGATTTTCTTAGGTACTTTGTCACAATGATGGAAAGATGACTGATACAACAGGATTCTTTTATTCCAAAAAGATTTCTCACTTTATTACTTTTTTTTTTCCTCTCTCTCTCTCTAATAAAATGCCCTTTCTTTTGGAAAGTGTTAGTATTGGATGGTGGTTTTAGTAGCACAGAAAGTTAAAAATCTCACCCCATTTTGTTTTGTTTTGCTGTGTTCTCTGAAAATTTTGTCATACTATAAAATCCACACACATGGGAACCTATGATACAGAGTTCACTAGTAGAAGTATTTATTCCTGGGGTTTATTGTAAGCCAAAGCCAAAATGAGAAGAGACTTTGTGTGTGTGTGTGTGTGTGTGTGTGTGTGTGTGTGATGGGATCTTACAATGTTGCCCAGGCTGGCTTATAACACCTTGGCTCAACAGAGGGCTCCTGCCTCAGACTGCCCTGTAGCTTGGACTCTAGGCACCATATCACCATACCTGGCTACAAAGTATTTTTTTTTTTTTTTTGTAAAGTGCTCGTCTAGCATGTGTGAGGCACTGGGTTTGATCCTCAGCACCACATAAAAATAAGGATTTTTTTTTTAAAGGGGTAATTTCTGTCTTCTTGAATGAAGACCATATCCCAGCATGCGGAAAAGAAGTTACCTCATTAGTCTTTTATTTTAAAGTTATAAAATTTTCCTTTCATTTGGCATACGTGCTCAATGAAAAAATTTGTAAAACACACAAAAGTCATTGATATTGTGACGACTTGGAAAATAAGAGCATTTCTTTACATTTTGCTATGTTTTTTCTTTTGTTGTTGTTGTTTTTTTTTTGTTTTTTTTTGTTTTGTTTTGGTTTTTTTTTTTGCTTTTTTTGGTGCTACGGGTTGGACCCAGAGGCGCTTTACTACTGTGCTACATCCCCAGTCCTTTTTTATTTTTTATTTTTAGGCATGGTCTCATTAAGTTGCCCAAGTTGGCATAGAACTTGCAATTCTTCTGACTCATCCTTCTGAATAGTTGGGACTATAGGTACATGGCCATACCTGGCATTTAGATCATCTTGAAGCTGTTTGTCCTATATTCTCTCTGTGCCTTCTCTTCCCTCTGACTAGTAAATAGTGATGCCTGGAACAATCCTGTCAGTCATATATTACAGATGACAGAGTTRCCCCATCACTGGGACAGCTCACTTTTAGACTGAGAATAAGAAAATAAAATCTCTAGTTAAGCCATTATTTTTTGTGCATGTTGTGGAATGATGATAGATGGATGTCAGGCTAAAGTAGCAAACAACCACTTTGCATATTTTTTCCTATTACCTACCTTTATTTTATACTTATATACATTATTATTTCTCCCTTTTGATCTCTACTTTTGAATTTGCTGTTACTTTACTGAACTTCACTTTTCTTTACTTYACTGAACTTCTAACTTACACAGTCAGCCTCCTTTGAAGGCATAGGCTCTCTTGATGTAGAACCCAGATAGTACAGTGTGGGAGAGAGGAGAGTAGATTCAAAGGCAGATGGTCCTGTTCTCATCCTGTGGGGCTTACACAAACCCTCAGGTCCACTGATAAAACCTGCAACCAAAGTAACCTCCTAAGAATGAAATGGAGACTAAATATTAGACTTTGTATAGTTCCCTGGTCTAATACCTTATAGCTCCCCCACCTCAAATTTTTGAGAGAGAGAGAGAGAGAAGAGAGAGAGGGGGAGAGGGAGAAGAGAGAGGGAGTGAGGGAGGGAGGGGGGAGAGGGCGAGAGAGAGAGAGAGAGAGAGAGAGAGAGAGACAGACAGACAGAGAGAGAATATGAATATTTTTTTAAATCTTTTTATTATAATTACTTATTTTTATGTGGCGCTGAGGATCGAACCCAGTGCCTCACGTGTGTGAGGCAAATGCTCTGCCACTGAGCCACAACCCCAGCCCCTAGAGAATTTTTTTTAATATTTATTTTTCAGTTTTTTAGGTGGACACAACATCTTTATTTTTAAATTTTCATGTGGTACTGAGGATCGAACTCAGCGCCCCGCGCATGCCAGGCGAGCACGTTACCACTTGAGCCACATCCCTAGCCCCCCGCCACTTCGAATTTTAAGCTCAGGTAATACAATGAAAGCAAATGGCCTCATGACTGAGAGTGCAGACCCTAGAATCAGAACAAATTTGGGTTTGAACCCCAGCCTTGCCACCTACAACTAATGCTATTGTGGGCAAGTTAACAAAATATGTTTTCTTACTTGTTAAATGGGATTAATAGCACCCTCATGGATTAGTTATGAGAATTAAAGAAAATAATGAATGTTTAGTACTTCATATACTGCAAGATACTCAGTATGTATTAGTTGTTATAACTCTATGTCTTTCCACATGCTACTCCCTCTGCCTGGAACACCTTTTTCCTCTTATTCATCTGGGGAATCCCTTCACAGTCATTGTAACTCATGCTCTATAAGAACATTCCCAGCTCCTTGGCCTGGTAAGAATGATCAATACTTCCCTTTGTTTRGGCACTGAGAAGACACATATGTTAATCTTAATCTTAAATCATATATTAATATTAAACTAATCACAGTATAATTTACTTGYTTATTTAAATATCTGTTCCTTCTAACTGTGAACATGGTCCATGTTGCATTCATTGCTAAATCTTAAGTACGCAGAACAGTCTATATTATAGSTTCTCATATGTGTTTGAGACAACAAACTGAATACATCCTTAACTTCATTCTACAATCGACCCACCTTTCTTCTGGGTTAGGAATGAGACCTAAATATTAATTATCTCACTATTATTATCAATAGACTTGTCTTACTAAATTAGTTTAAATTGAAGCCTAATTGGCATTGCTGGTATTTTAAAAGGCAGTTATCTGAACATGAATTTCTACCGATAAATGTTCTATAATGAAAATGCTCTCATCTAACATTTCTTAGTGTTTTCTCAGAAATTGTTAGCAAATGCAATTTAGAAAATCTTAAAAATCACAGTCAGTAACTGAAAATGTACCGCTTTTATAAAAGGAAGAAGTTATTAAAATTTTAAGGACAGAAAATAATTATAAGAATACTTTAGGCAGGGAGTATAGCTCAGTAGTAGAGTGCATGCTTAGCTTGTATGAGGCCCTGGGTTCAATCCCCTGTACCAAAAGAAAAAAGAAAAGAATACTTTGCATGTGTATGGAAATTCTTACCCTATAAAATCTTTCACCAGCTTCTCCTATTTGCCTATGATAGTGAAAACAATTACATTCCTATTACATGGGAAAACATTTACTATAGATAAAACCTAGAATAAAGATTATGTTTTACCCAACTTTGGTGGCCTTTTCAGTGGAGGTTGAATCTAGATTTCAATTAAATACATTATTTTTACAGTTTTCTAGAAGGAAAGAGAATACACACACACACACACACACACGCACACACACATGCGCACACACACACACATGTGTGTGTGTATGTGCGCGTGTGTGTGTATTCACCTTTGAAGATTTTTATTTCCTTTAAAGAACTTAATAAAATTTTTGATGACAGTGACTATATGTTGTCTTAAAAAGTAAAACACATTTTGTTAATGAGAGATTTAAAATACCAACAATAAAATAATAAAAATACCTCAATGCAGATGTGATGCATTCCTCCAGCCTTGTTTTTCTGCAGAAATCCTGCAATTGGACTGTCATTTCCCAGTGGATGAAGCAATTCCATCTTGGTATTTCCCAGGTTGACAAAAACAACAGATACTCCATGTTCAGGAAGAGGGACCACCTCACTTACCTGGGCCCCCAAAATATTCTGATAAAATGCTGTGGACTTTTTCAAATCTGGCACTGCAATGGCTACATGATTGAGTCGACTAAGATTCCATACAGGATCTGCCACCTGATGCAAGGACTGTGATGCAGAAAAACTTCTCACTGCTGGAACTGGATTTAGGAATTTTGAAAAACACCCTGAAAAATTGAACAGTCATTGGTATCCTTCTTTTGAGAATTAATGCATTTCAAATTATAATTTAAAAAAACTAAACAAATAATACATAAGAAAATTAATTATTTAATGTCTATTCTTTTTAATTATTGAAATTAACTCAGGGGAAATAAATGGAAAAACTTATGTTAAAATTACTCTGTGCTGCCCAGAATTAAAAAGCTAATTGTCCAAAATTAAGAAAAGTAATTCTGAGCTAAGCACAGTGGTGCAAGCCTGTAATCCCAGCAACTCAGGAGGCTGAAGCAAGAGAGAACAAGTTCAAGATCAACTTCAGCAACTTAGAGAGGCTGTCTTAAAATAAAAAGGGCTATGGTATTGCTCAGTGGTAGAGGGTCTCTGGATTCAATTCCCACTATTACACACACACACACACAGCTAATTCTGAACTTCAATTGGATTTTGAACAAAGAATGACACTTTTTATAATCATTTATATTTACTGGTAACACTTGAAGTATAATGGCATATTAAGAATTACTTGTTAAACTCTGAAGGGGTTAAGTCTGAATGTAACAGTGATACAACATACACTTAATGATAAAAGCAAGCCACTTTCCCACCTAAACACAAGTTTTTGTTTATAATCTGTAATAAAGTCATGAAATGCGTATCTATACAATACTTTTTTAATGTGTATTTTATTTGAATGATTATCAACCAAGGAAAATATATCATTGTTGGGAGGATAAGCAAAGATCAAGGCAATAGTTAGTTTATGAGAATTTTCTCTGACACCAAACTTTTTGTCATATTGAAGGAGTAGAGGCAGAACTTTGTTAATCTCCTTTCATTCAGTTGAAACCTCCTTTCATTCAGTAACTGAAGAAGGCTGCAAGACTTTCCCATTCCCACAAACAGAATGAAAAATACATAAATGTATGAAGTCTAAATATAATTATGTAAAACTATATCACTTAATAACTTGGTATGAAATAGCAAGATGAAGATCATATACAGTATTTTTTTAAACAATAGGTGGGTAGTGAAAAAAACTTTACATAGTACCAAGTACAGCACAGCTATAGCTAATAAAATACCTCTTAACTGAAATTTTCTTTAGGAAGAAAATTAAAGTGATACTATTTTGTTTTATTTAACCTGATACACAAAATTCAGCCTAAGATGGTCTTCTAGCCTGCCCCAGTCTATATTATGGGTTACTGAAATACTTAAAGGTTCTCATTACCAATAGGGCAATATAGTTCTGTTTTATGGACTCACTGCTATTATGAAATCCAAATGTATTACAACTCAGCATATATATATGCACACACACACACACACAAACTCAGCATACACACACACACACATATAAATGTACAATTGAAATGAAATTACATAAAAAGAATACCTAATCCTTATATAATGGCATAAAATTTAAAAAAATAAAAATAAATGAAAAAAGAATACCCAATCTTTACTAGAAGTGATGTGCTTTTTTATCCATCATTTGTTATTTCAGATTTTTAAAAAATTAGTATTACCCACTAAATATGTAACTTTGTTTGTTGTGTAGATAGTTGTTGCCCAAACAATACAGTACCAGACATACATAGATATACAACAAATTCATCCATTCTTACTGTTACTGATATATAATGATGATTTTTCTAGCTGAGTGGCACAAGGGATTTTCTGCAGAGATGTGGTGATAATGAACTTTACAAAGACTAACGACCAACAAAATCATTGCAAGCTGCTCCTCCTTTCTTTCTTCTCATGTTTACTGTATGTGCAACTTGCAATGGAAGTTTAATGAAGTATTTATATTATAAAAAAATTGTATAAAGGATTAACGAGCTTTTGGGTAGTATGCACACTACTGTCATTGAAAGTTTAAGGGTATGTCAAATATTGTGCTGGTATCTGGATTGTCCTTAACAGAATTACTTCTATAAGAGATGGAGCAGGTAGAGATCCTTGACTAATATAATTAATTAATATAATATAAAATACTTAATATAATTAATATAACACTATCATAACCATTTGAATATACAGACATGTTAAAGGAACAAATTATAGGATATTTAAATGAAAGCAAAGTTTTATACCCTATGCCACTTTGCTTTAGGAATATTGAAAAAACTCTTGTCACTGAAAATGAAGGCCAATTCATGTTATTTGAAGCCTCACTGTAGAATTCCTCTATAACTATTTTATCATTTGATTTACCAGGACAGGTTTTTTTTTTTTTTAATAGAAAACAAAATCTACTTTATATGTTAGAGAGACCACAGCATTTTTCATATTGTAAAAATTCAAGATTTTGAAGCCACCTAGGTTTATCTTTTCTCTAGAGATAGGAAATGGTTTCAGGAATACAATATAATTCTTTGTTGGTTTCTTTGGCCCCTAAGACATGCATTCTAGAATTAGGATAGAAAAAAATACAGCAATACCAATGAAAATTCAATAATTTAGCTTCTTTAAAAGGAGAGGATAGAGCCAGGTACAGGGGTGCATGCCTCCCAGCAGCTCGGGAGGCTGAGGCAGGAGGATCATGAATTCAAAGCCAGCCTCAGCAAGGGTGAGGTGCTAAGCAACTCAGTGAGACCTTGTCTCTAAATAAAATACAAAATAGGGTTGGGGATGTGGCTCAGTGGTTGAGTGTCCATGAGTTTAATCCCTGGTACCAAAAAAAAAAAAAAAAGGATAGGATATAAAAATGGCCAACAAACATATCAGATATTCAATAATATTAGTGATTAAAGAAAAGCCAATCAAATCCATGATGAGATACTACTTCACAGCCACCAAGAAAAACAAAATAAGCAAGTGTTGATGAGTATGTAGAAAAACTGGAACCCTTGTATTTTGTTGATAAAAATGTAAAATGGTGCAGCTGTAAAGGGATGGTTTGTCAGTTCCTTAGAAAATTAAACAAATTATCATATGACCCAGGAATTCCACACCTAAGTACCCCAAATAGCTACAAACAGGAATTTAAAATCTTGTACACTAACAATCACAGTAGCAGCATTCCCAATAGACAAACAATGAAATATTATTCATATCTACATAAGGAAGTATCATCTGGATGTAAAGTACTCATACATGCTACAATGTGGATGAATGTATAATATATATGTAATATGTAACTAATATTAGTGATAGAAAGCTGGCATAAAAGGTCACATGCTGTATGATCCTAATTATATATAATATCTAGAATAGGTAAATCTATAGTGACAGAAGGCAAAACAATGGTTGCCAGAGGCTGGAAGGAGGAGGGAACAGAAACAACTGCTTAATATGAATGGGTTTACTTTTGGGGTGACAAAAATGTTTTGGAACTGGACAAAGGTAACAGCTGCACAACATTGCAAGTGTAATAAATACTGTTAAATTGTACATTTTTATTTCTCCCCAGGGCCAAGGATCTAACCCAGAGTCTTGTGTTTGTTAGTAACTGTATATTTTTTAATGGTTAATTTTATGTTATGTGAACTTTACCTTGATATGGAAGAGGAAGATGAAAATTAGGAGGAATGATAACAATCCTAGCAGTAAAAATCTGTGGTAAAACTCTGTAGACCAAGCAAACTGGGTAAGGAACAGGGAATAAAGGCTTTTAAATAATATATGTGTGTGTATTATATATATTAGTGATTATTGATTAATTAGTGACAATACATACACACACACACACATATATATATTTTTTTCCAGTGTTACTGAGATATGATGGACAAACTGAAATTGCATGTACTCAAAGTTTTTAAATATGTATATAATGTGAAATGATTTTCACAAACTAATTTTTTTTTCAAATATTTATTTTTTAGTTGTAGTTGGACACTATCTTTATTTTATTTTTACGTGTGCTGAGGATCAAACCCAGGGCCTTGCGCATCCTAGGCGAGGACTCTACCGCTGAGCCACAATCCCAGCCCCTCAAACATTTTTTTTTAAATATTTATTTTTTAGTTATAGGTAGACAAAATATCTTTATTTTATTTTTATGTGGTGCTGGTGATCGAACCCAGTACCTCATGCATGCTAGGTGAGCACTTACCTCTGAGCCATAGCCCAACCCATCAAACTAACTTTTTTAAAACATATTATTTCATATTTTCACCCAACTGGTAGGAACTCTCCACTCTAGAATTAGATTTCTGTCTCTGAGCTCAGAAGTGTTCAGTACAATTGTATTGCTTTGAACTCCACAGTGGGTCATTTGTAATTATTGCAATAAGGGTTTTTTTATAAAAATAAACTACAAAGTGTAACTATGTGTGAATAAACATGTAAAATACTTGAAAATAGGAGAATTAAAAACCAAGAGTGTAAAGATGAATAATTATTTTAAAAAAACTTACTTTCACACACATCAGAAATGTGGTATATGAGTTATTTGTGTGTGTGTATGTATATATATATATATATATATATATAAATATAAATATATATAACTACAAAATCTAGTATGTTAACTCTTAATTCTTAACTTCCTGTGTATCAGTTCTCATTAATCATGTTCTTACTAATAACTTCTACTGTTTTGACTTAAAAATAACATGCCTTTCTTTCAGTTCAGATTTAGCATTTCAGATTAGGTTTTCCAGACAGTTTCTAAATAAATAAAGGTTTACCTTCAAGAGTTTATACTGAGGGGCTGGGGATGTGGCTCAAGTGGTAGCGCGCTCGCCTGGCATGCGTGCGGCCCGGGTTCGATTCTCAGCACCACATACAAACAAAGATGTTGTGTCCACCGAAAACTAAAAATAAATATTAAAAAAAATTCTCTCTCTCTCTCTCTGTCTCTCTCTCTCTTTAAAAAAAAAGAGTTTATACTGAAATTCATATGGGTACTTAGTATTTGAACAAATTAGATGTTAACATTGTATATAAAGTGTCATAAAATTGTGACTAATCACTTGTAATAAGTTTTTCTCTTTTTTTAATATTTATTTATTTATTTTTTTTAGTTCTTGGCGGACACAACATCTTTGTTTTTGTATGTGGTTCTGAGGATCGAACCCGGGCCGCACGCATGCCAGGCGAGCGCGCTACCGCTTGAGCCACATCCCCAGCCCCTTGTAATAAGTTTTTCAACAGCTTTATCTCAATAGTTACATTTAGAAAACAGATTTATAATTTACATATCATGAAGTTCACCAATTTGAGGTGTAAATTCAGTAGTTTTTAGAATATTTGCTGTGGGAAGCCAACCTTATGGGTGACTGAGTTACACTCCCCAGCTGGGTGCTGAGGCCCTCAGTCACAGAAATGGGTGTATCTTCCTACAGCCCCACGGGTGCAGCTATGCTCACCTGTTGCTTTGTAATATAACCCCTTGCCCTGTTTAGGATAGAATCTTCCATGGAAGTGCCTTGTGTGTGTCCCCTTCTCTTACTGGGGTGTGGCCTACCCAGGTGTCCGTCAACCTGCTGACAGTGGACATCATGAAGAAAGACTCAGCCCCCTGAAACCTGACCCCTTGCCTAATTTGAATAGCTTCTCCTCAATAAAAGGGGTCAGCGCTGTGCTCTGGCTCTCTTTCTGCAGACCCTTAAGGTCAGAGGAGCCGTCACAGCGACCCCAAAGAAAAAGGTATTTGTGTCTCTTGTGTGGTTATTTCGTGCAGCCCAGTTAGCCCAGTTTAACTAGAGTGACCCCTGAGCCTTTTAGTCGCGAGAACAGAAACCCGGCAATTTGCAAAGTTGTGCAACCTTCACATAATTTTCATTTTCACATTTAGATTTTAGGTTCAAGTATTATTATGTAAGAGGCAGTAGTGTGCCTTATGGTTAGGAATATGGGCTCTAGTGCAAGAATGTTCTAATTCAAACCTTGACCTTACCATTCAGTTGTGTTACTGAGCTAGTTACTCTACCACTTTATACAAGTATTTCTGCATATATAAAATGAAAACAGTATCTATCTCATAGGGAATGTCATAAAACTAAATGGTAAATATATATAAAGAGTTGAAAAAAGAGCCCAGCACAAAGTAAATAATAAATACCAAGAGTTACCATTACTGGCACCCTTAGAAAGGTTATATCAACAACTTGCTTACAAATGTAAGCATCTCTGACTACTAATGTACTTYATGCTTTTACAGGATCCCATGAAAGTTAACTCTGTACCACCTCAGTCACAGTATTGCCCTTCTGCTACAATCTCATTCAATAGCTAAAATAACTTGTATACACAGTGCTTTTGTATTCACTGCTTCATTCATTAATGCAGTTTACTATTTTTCATGATAAGGAGACCACTCACCTCCTTTCTCTCTAGAAAATTGTGTGGGCTACAATTTGAGAACATTGTTGGTAGTAATTGAGTATTTAGCGATTGATATCATGTTGTAGTTTTGCTGTGGGGGGGTATTAGAAGCATAGTATTCTGTTTAATTTTTAGTGTAGAAATACAGATTTACCATTTTGCTGAGTTAAAATTAGTTGCTAATGATAACTCTCCAACATACACTGATCATGACTGGTAATTTTTGGAAACTTCTTTTAATATCATAAACAAATAGAAACTACACATTATGCCTTTATAAGAACCTATAAGCTGGCTATTATCCCCAAAGCTAGTATGTTCCAAATCATCTCTAGGTATTTTCTATATTTTGTTAACAGCTGGGATTTATTAATAGTGAAGTACAGAATCCCCTGGGGTAAAATCTGGCTGATTTTACCTGACCTTTCCAGTATAGACCTGTGGGCTTATTTCATTGTTAAAGATTTATGCATCAATGTTCCTATGTAGTATTGTCTAAATCTGTAATCCTGCCTAACCAAACTGAAATTACAAATACTGATTTGGGAGTGTACCATGTGGTAGCCTGACTCATCCTATTAGTGTTTGTAGCCATTGAAATAATGGTCACAAAGAATAATGAAATGAGAATGTTATTTTATTTAATCCTCACAAAAATTCTATGGATTAGAYAATATTATTTTCCTCATCTTTTTAGAAATAAGGAAATAGGCTAAACGGATCACAAGTGATTTTCCTCAATATCACAATAAATTGCAAAGTGGGGCCACTAGCCCTGGTCTGTCAAACATTGAAGTTGATGTCATTAAATGATTATGTTTAACTCTCATTCCTCTAAAATTCTTTACCATTCTTTCAATTCTCAGTTTTCAATGTCTTTGGCTTATGCAATTACCTAAGAGATGTCTTGCTAAGAAATAACAAGAAAGTTTTTCGCTTTATGAGTTTTTTTTTTTAAAGAGAGAATGAGAGAGGGGAGAGAGAGAGAGAGAATTTTTAATATTTATTTTCTAGTTCTCGGCGGACACAWCATCTTTGTTGGTATGTGGTGCTGAGGATCGAACCCGGGCCGCACGCATGCCAGACGGGCGCGCTACCGCCTGAGCCACATCCCCAGCCCTCGTTTTATGAGTTTTTTACAAAGAGTTATGTGCAATGGTATGTGAGCTAAAATGCTGACCTGTATTTTGCCAAGGATATAAAGGCCAATAGTGTTAATTTGTTAACAAAATCTGAATATTATGTTAACTAGATATTCATTTTAACTGTGCTCAGTATTTTTTCAAGTGTATACATATATTTCACTTTTTAAAACTGATGTTAAGTTGAGACAGCTAAACCTACTAAGTACACTTTTTCTTTGCATATGGATCATCACTTAACCTTGGACATGTTAGATAATTAAGAAATTCTGTGACTAATGAGAAAGGCTTGAGTGATCAATAAAGAACTGATCCAGTTTGAGATGGAATTCAATGGATGGCTAGGACTTCAGGTTTCAATAGGCTGACTACAGAGGACACTTTTTAGGAGAGAAACCTAATAAAACTTTATTCCCTGGGCTAGGGCTGCAGCTCAGTGGTGGAGCGCTTGCCTGTAAGCTGAGGCACTGGGTTCTATCCTCAGCACTACACAAAAATAAATAGATTGTGTCCATTTACAACTAAAAAAATTAAAAACCAAAACCAAAACCACTATTTCCTTGAACACTTTTGAAGGTGCTGGCTGAAGGATTTGCCACACTATGTTCAGGAGTAAGTCTGGTAATTATCACGTTGTACTTATATCAAATAGGAAATCTCAGATTGGGGGGGGGGAATGCTTGCGTTTGTAAAGAGAGGAAGAGAAGAAAAAGAGGGAGGAGAAAGTGGGAAACTCAGAAAACTTGACCATTAGTCATCACAGATTCCATGTAGACATAAAGAAAAAAAAGTGGAGGTGCAGCGACCTTGAGGAGTTTCAAAATACTTCTCTGTTTATATAGAAGATGATAAATACACTAGGGCACGTGGGTAAGATATTTCTTTGGTATTCTTTACCCCACTGACTTTCAGTTGTTCCTGCAGGGGTTCCATGCTTGAATTCAGCTTAAGTCCACAGGACTTGGCCTCTTTTCTATATTTTCCCCAATGTCTTATGGTATGCGGTGAACACTCAGATTCTCCTCCATTTACTTCTTTCCTTTTCATCTGTCCCTGTCTTGCAGGTCCCACACACAGCTCACAGGGTGGCACACTAAGACACCCGCCCCCGCCCCCGTCCCGCTCCCCCTGCTTTTAAGTGACCGCTGGCTAAGGTGCTGACAGAAGCTGCGAAAGGCGGCTTCGTAGGGCAGGACGCTTTAGACCCAGGTGGTTGGCCACCGGTGGTCTCCTCCGCCCCGACCTCCGGTTCGGCGCACACCGCCCCGCCCCGCCCCACGGTGATCCCAACGGTGCCCGGTATTCACCTACGGCCCACGCAGCCCCCGCCACGGCCGTCAACACACGCGCCATCTTGGGAAGCTACCTGCTAGGTCCCGACTGGCTGCAGGGCCGACGAGCAAAGAGGGCGAGGGGCGGGGCCACGTGGCGAGGTGACTGGCTRGAGACCTAAGGGGCGGGGAAAGGCGGCCAGGGGGCGTGGCGAGCGTGTTTGGAAGAGACCCGCCCTTCTGGTAACAGTGCGTTCCTGTTACCTTGCATAATTTGACTCTCACCGGGCTCTAAAACTCGCCACCTACTGTATCCAAAGAAGAAACGTAAAAGACCACGCATCACCAGTTGTGGGCCCCTYAGGAAACCCAAACATAAAGTTTGGAGGAAATTCAACGATTCCTGGACTGACCAGTAGCTATTTTCTGTCTCCTGCCCCGCCCCACTACGCAAGCCCAGTGAAAGTTCTCACGCTATCATTGGCTCCGATTGAGGTGGGTCCGGAACCTATGCACGACGGAACCTTCGGCTATGATTTGCGGGTTACGCTAGGCACCTTTTTGCCGCGGAATTTCCGTTTTAGCTCTCTTCCGGGTCGGCTCTCTTCCCTTGCATGAGGTGCCGTATCTGGAGTAGCTGACGGCGATGGCTCCTCGGGTCTGGCGTCGGCGGACCCTGGAGCGGTGTCTGAGAGAGGTCGGTAAAGCCACCAGCCAACCCGAACGCTTTCTCACGTAAGTCCACGTGTCCCGGGCTCGGAGACCAGTTCTCACGTGGGCGTGGGTTGCCGGCAGCCTGCAAATTCTGTATGGGAAGAAAAGGGAGTATAGATTATTTCTTCCCATATATCAGTTTATGATTCCATGGCCTAACAACTCCTAGATTGCTTAGGGCCTCTGTATGTTGCTGAGACTGGCTTTGAATTTGTGATCCTCCTGCCTCAGCTTCCTGAGCTGCTGTGATTACAGGCATATGCTACTGTGCCTGGCTCAGAATCTATACTTAAAATTCATAGTTTGTGTTTGATTTTTTTTTGCACTTGAGTTGAATCTTATTTTTCTTTTAATTCAGAGGTCTATGAAATTACTACCTATAAGTTTTATGTCTTTTGATCTCCTCCCCCAATAGGATTCAAGATGGATTAGCATCAAACTTCACTTCTTTAACAAAAGTTCTTTATGACTTCAATAAGATACTAGAGAATGGTAGGATTCTTGGAAGTCCTTTACAAAAACTTGTGATAAACAATTTTGATGATGAGCAAATTTGGCAACAACTGGAATTGCAAAATGAACCAGTTTTACAATACTTCCAGAAGGCAGTTAGTGAAACAATTAAAAATGAAGACATCACTCTTCTTCCAAAGAATAAAGAGCAGGATTGTGAAGAGAATGGCTCAGAGATGGAGGCTGATAACCAGGAGAACATAGAAGATTTGGAAGAGGAGGAGAAAGTGTCAGATGTGGGTGATAATGATCCTAAAGCTGGTGAAAAACCTAAAAACTCAAGCAAATTTGATCAGAGGAAAAGCTCAGTTTTCAGTGATGAGGATTCTGATCTTGACTTTGATATTAGCAAATTGGAACAGCAGAGCAAGGTGCAAAATAAACTGCCAGAGAAGTCAAGGGAAAAGTCTATAGTAGATGACAAATTCTTTAAACTATCTGAAATGGAGACCTTTTTGGAGAACATAGAAAAAGAAGAACAAAAAAAAGATGAAGAGGAGGAGAAAGAAGATATTGACTTTTTTGAAGATATTGATTCTGACGAAGAAGATGAGGAAGAATTGTTTAGAAATCAAAAACTTAAGGTAAAATTATGGAAGAGGAGAAGAGAGAGTACTTTCTTCCTCCTCAATTAAGATTTTGTTCTGTTTCCTAAGAGAGATTTTAAGCACTTCAGAATTCATCAGGACACATATGAAGTATTAGATCAATTGAAAAAAAATTGGTGAAATTAAACTGAAGCTATCATTTCCTTGTCACAAAATAATTCTCTTGATAGATAGCTTAAGAACCATAATCACACATTAGAGGTATTCACAGGTTTCCCTCAAACATATTTTCAASAACCATAAAAAATAATTGGGAATGAAAATATTTAATACTTATGTAGGCAGGGGTGTTTTGGAAATAATTATAGTTAAAAGATTTAGAGATAGGAATAGTGGGCTCTTGTTTTGTCAATTATAAATAAGACTATACAGGCTGGGTGTGTAGCTCAGTGATAGAGTGCTTGCCTAGCACTTGTGAGGCAATGGGTTCTATCCTCAGAACCACATAAAAATAAATAAAAGTATTGTGTCCAATAAATAAATAAATAYTGTACTTAGATTCAGTTTATAATATCTCAGTTCTTAATGATTTTGCGGTAGTGTTATTGGTTACTAGTTTCCTGTAATTATTTTTTGACTAGTAATGTTGAAGTAGTCAAGCAATATATATATATATATGCCTATGTACATATTTACAAATGGATCTATACTTCCATGTAGTTTGTTACATTCCAGTTCTTGTGGTTTTATAACAGTGTTACTAGTTACGAGTTTCCCCTAATTATTTTTGGCTACTAGTGTTAAAGTAGGAAAGGTGTGTGTGTTTGTGTGTGTGTGTGTGTRGTACATATATACACATGCATTTTTTATGTATTTTTCTATCTTCCATTAAATGTTTTTAAAATCTTCTTGTTTAGTCAGATAAAAGYTCAAGAAATCTGAAATACAAAGATTTTTTTGATCCAGTTGAAAGTGATGAAGACATGGTAAGTGGTGATGATGGGCTGGATTCAAACAAAGAAGAGGAAGAAATTGCTGAAGAAGAAGCAGAAGAAAGCATTTCTGAAACGTGAGTATTTTAAATAATCCTTTATAAACTAGAAATGTATGTATGCTCATAATTGTCAGCTATGTATGTTGTAAGCAGTTAAATTCTCAAATCAAATAGTAGATTCTCTAACTTCAGATTATCTCATATAGCTTGAAAGAACATTAGAGTTAATGAAGAAAAATATTTCTGGCAGTAACAGTCAAACCTTTGTTACAAGAAAGGAGCTTTTTTTTTTTTTTGAGTTTTGGTTTGTTTTTAAAGATGGTAATCTGTTTTTATACCTTTATTTTATTTACTTATTTTTTATGTGGTTCTGAGGCTTGAACCCAGTGCCTCACATGTGCTGAGCAAGTGCTCTACCACTGAGCTACAATCCCAGCCCTGATATGGGTTTTGTGCTAGTAATCCTCCAGGTTCTTTCTGTGAAATAAGAACTTTGTATTATAGATTGATGAATAATTTATTTGCACATATTGGGCCCTTTTGTTCTATTTCTTACATAGCATTTTACCTAAATAATTCCTTCTGTTGTTTTTAAATAATTTAATGACTTTGGAAGTTCTGAATATATTTGGGACATTAGAGATACAAAAGAACTTCAATAGAGGAAAATTGTATTTGTTTTCTAGTGAAAAGTTGTTTTTCCTTTGATAAGCATTTTGGTATTACAGGGATGAGGATAATGACCTTGAAGAAAGTGAAGATAGTGAACAGCATAAAGGCTCAAAAAGAGTGACCTTTGCTTTGCCAGATGATAAAGAAACTGAAGATACAGATGTGTTAAATGTAAAGAAAGATCCTGATGAAGTTAAGTCCTCTTTTGAAAAGAGACAGGAGAAGGTAATTTTAAGGAATTTAAGAAATGTTTTATGCGCTTTACATGACTGTGGAACTCAGTCTGATCTATCATATTTTTCCTGTGGGAAATACCGACTGTCCTTTAAGAATGAAAATCTTGCAGCCACTCTAAACACAGTGTATGTAGATGCCACATTGAAAGCTTCTAATTTGCAAAAGTCAGTTCCTGCATTTCTTAGCCTTGGGGGCCTTTTTTTTTTTCTTTCGTTTGTTTCTTTTCTTTATGCCTGATGTCTTTATATACCCATGTCATGTCTCTCCAGCTTAGCCATCCCCTGAGCCTCTTGGTGTAACTAAACTCCTCTGGAGAATGCTGCCTGTCTCTTTAAAGTGCTGTGTAAATTATTTTTGTGGGTGTTACATATAGCCTGTATTRTAATTAAAACCATCTCAAACACATCTTCCAAATTGATGGAAATTGTTTGCTTATGACATAATTTCAGGTAGATGACATGTCACTTAATTTTAATAGAGGTAGTGTGGCTCCAGTCATTTGGCTTTATTATTTGTCCACCTTAAAATTATACAATTAGATCTCTAGATAGGGAATAGGGGGTAGGAGGGAAAGGGAGGGAGAAGGGGAAAAGCATGGATGGTGAAAGGAGACCCTCATCATTATACAAAATACATGTATGAAGATGTGAATTTGGTGTCAACATACCTTATATATAATCAGAGATATGATAAATTATTGAATAATGGTGTATTAAGAATCGTAAAGCAATAAGTAAATAAATAAATAATTGTAATGCAAAAAAATTATATTAGAAATGAGAATAGGCAGATCAAAGATAACAAGACACTGAAATAATTACAAAAAGTTTGAGAATCTGAATTAAATTCACGATTGCCAGATTGTCTCCAAAAGAAGTCTGAGGAAAAAAGCACCATAAAAGAAAACAAATTTTAGTCTGGGGTTGTGGCTCAGCAGTAGAGTACTCGCCTAGCATGTGTGAGGCACTGGGTTCAACCCTCAGTGCCACATAAAAATAAATAAATACAATAAAGGTATTGTGTCCAACTACAACTAAAAAAATAAAAATTAAAAAAAGAAAATAAATGTCTTCACCTCATTTCTCCCACCCTCCTCTGACAAAATGAAAGCTTTGGTTTTACTGTGAAATTATATCAGACCTTCAAGAAATAGGTAATTTAATGCTGTTTAATTAATTTCCACATTAAGTGAAGAGTAAAGTAAAACTTCAAAACATCTTTTTTTCTTGGGAAATTGTTATAATGGAATGTTAACCCTGACAAAGATGAAAATAAAATATACACACACTCAGTGTCATTTAAGAATAATGATGCAAAAATCCCAATAACCAGATGAAAAAATAATGCCATAAAAGCAAGTGGGTCTCATTCTTTTGAATCATTTTAGGAAGTCTGATGTGATTCTTGGTTTTAAGAGGTTAARGGAAAAAGTCTGTGTCAGGAAGACTTGCCAAAATTCAGTATTCGTGTCCTGTTTTATTGTTTGTGATATATATAGTGTGTGTGTGTGTATGTGGTGCTGGGAATTCAACCCAGGGCCTTATATGCAAGGCAAGCAYTCTATCAACTGAACCCATTGTTATTTTTATACTTCTCATGAGATACAAATACATCTGTCCAAAAGCCATCATATATAATGGTAAAGTTCTAGAAATGTCTCTTTAAAATCAAAAGCTTCCATCATGCATAATGGTAAAATTCTAGAAATTTCTTTAAAATCAGGAATAAGAAAAGATATCCACTGTTACAGTTACCATTTCTTTAGAAATGTTAGCCAGTGTAGCCACAAAAGAAGAAAATAAGAGGTAGGAAAAATTAAAATGAAGGCACAAGATACTAGAAGAATCAGCAGTTGAGCAACAGAATAGTTAGGAAAATTTAAGAKCATTCTGTAAGGTAGCTGTACAAGCTGCTTTTTTATACACTAAAGTCTTCATAATTGTTGCCGTTTAAAAGTTAAGAGAATTGGCGTGCATAGTCCCAAGAGTCAGGCTACATTAGCTATAAGTAATAAAATAAGTAATAAAAACCTAGAGAGCTCGGGATATAGCTCAGTGGTAGAATATTTGCATATTCAAGGCTCTGGGTTTGATCCCCAGCACTGGCAAAAAAAGAAAAAAAGATTAAAATGCTCTAATAATTAAAACTGATACTGGACTGTGAATAGATAGATCATTTGGATAGAATAGAGCCTAGAAATACATCAAATGTTTACTAAACAATTTCCAATGTTTAAGAATAAAACAAGTACACTGAGGAATAATACATTTCTTTCCCACTTTTAAAATGTTATACCCTTTTACATGAGTATAAGTTTAATTTTTAAGTAAAAACTTTTGTCTTTTTCCTAGATGAATGAAAAAATTGCATCTTTAGAAAAAGAGTTGTTGGAAAAAAAGCCTTGGCAGCTTCAAGGGGAAGTGACAGCACAAAAGCGACCAGAGAACAGTCTCCTAGARGAGAACCTGCACTTTGATCATGCTGTCCGGATGGGTATGGTGCCCACTGGGCTTCTGCAGACTCTTCGTTTCTGTGCTTTTTGTGTTATTCTGTTTCCATAGAAAATTTGGGGGAGACACTTCTTTTTCCCCAACCTTTTATAAAACATGCAAACATACAGAAAAGGTGAAAAAATAGTTTAGTAAATATCTATATTGCCATGCCATTCAGTTGGATTCCCCAGTTATTAATGTTTTTGTTTTTTTTCTTTTAAAGAGAGAGAGAAAGAGAATTTTTTTTAATATTTATTTTTCACTTTTGGTGGACACAACATCTTTATTTTATTTTTATGTGGTGCTAAGGATCGAACCCAGTGCCCCGTGCATGCCAGGCGAGTGTGTTACCACTTGAGCCACATCCCCAGCCCCAGTTGTTAATGTTTTGCCATTTTTATCTTTTTTTTTTTTTCCTGGTACCACTAAGAAGGGAAGATGGTGGCAATGACTTGTGATTATCCCAGTGTTTTTTTTTATATTTTACTTAGAGACAGGTTCTCATTGAGTTGCTTAGGGTCTCACCAAGTTACTGAGGCTGACTTTGAACTCARTCCTCTTACCTCAGTCTCCCTAGCTTACAGATGTACGCCACTGTGCCCTGCCATTTTTATCTTTTTTCTCCTTACATGTATTTGTGATTGTGTGTATGCTTTTTTTCCTGCTGAATTGTTTGAAAGTAGTATCCTAAGTCACTCTTAAATACTTTTATGTGTATCTTCCAGGAACTAGGACATTCTCCTGTATAACTGTAGTACTATTAATCTGCTCAAATTTGACATTGCTATGCTAATGAAACCATTAGATAGATATTAGGTTTCTTCAAGTGCTCTGTTTATGAGGCTTGCAACCTGTCATGGCCAACTGAATTATAAACTTCAGCCTAAAACCCTAGTCATCTCATCTTTTTTGTGCCCATTGAGTTCAAATGATTTTCCATTTTATTTCAGCAAAAGAGAGAATGGAAAACAGGGGAARAGCCCCCAGTTTCATGGGATAGATGTATTAGCACTTATTACCACATATATTCTAATGTGGTTCGCAAGCTTGATGGAACATCAGAACTAAAACATAGACAGCTGTTCTCCTTCTCACTTTGTGATTCAGGAAGTAAGGGGTCAGCCTAAGAATTTGCATTTCCAGCAAGTTCCCAGGTGTTGCTGATGTTGTAAGTCCAAGGACCACAATTTGAAAATCACTAATATGTATCTTCTTAATGAAAATGTGGGTATGGGCTGGAGTCATAGCTCAGTGACAGAGCACTTGCCCAGCATACATGAGGCACTGGGTTCGATCCTCAGTACCACATAAAAATAAATGAATTAAATAAAAAAATAATTTTTTTTTTTTTTTTAATGTTGTGTTTCATTTAGCACCTGTGATCACAGAGGAAACCACCTTCCAACTAGAAGATATCATTAAGCAGAGAATACGAGATCAGGTCAGTAAGAATGAAATTGAACTTAATTTAGACTTCACTAAAATTTTTAGAAATAATATGAGAGGATTTAAGTAGGAGGAATAATGCTTTCTTCATTTCCACTCAATAATGTTCTTTACTTAGCTTTATGACTAGGAGCCAGGTGCAGTGGTGTGTACCTGTAATCCCAGCTATTTGGGAGGCYGAGGTAGGATAGTGAGTTACTTGGGCAATGTAGCCAGACTCCTATCTCAATAGAAAGCAGGGTCACAGGGTTGTGGCAGGGGAATAGTCTCAGGTTGTCTTCAGCTTCTGTTGTGTGAGGTTCTGCTCTTCACTAGTACCCGGGAAAGAGAGGCATTGTGCCTGAGGGGAGAAGGTAATCACAAGTCATTGCCACCATCTTCCCTTCTAAGTTTTGCTGACCTGTTGAGTGGTGAGAGTGGTTACTGGTATCTTGACTTGCCATGGTCACACTTGGAACCATTGGTCTAGACATAGTATCTAGCCTAACAATTAAAGAGAATGTCTTTTCAAATGTTAGTAATCTAGGAAAGAATTTTTTAAGAGTTGATCTGATTTTGTAAACTTCGAATAAAAGGAATATGACATGCACTATATGAGATGTCTTCAAAATGTATGTACAATGTTTACCTGAACTTTGTAAACTTCGAATAAAAGGTATATGACATGCACTGTATGAGATGGCTTTAAAATGTACGTACAATGTTTACCTGAACTTGTGTCTAAAAATACAGGGATATGAAGGGAGAGGGTACTATATGCATAGTAGCTTAAAATTGGAAATGAGAAAATGAACACAAGGCTTGATTCTTTGACAAACTGTGACGAGAAAAAGTGGAATTAAAGTTGGTAACCAGAAGACTTATTTAAAATAAAGGTGAAAAGGATATCTAAGTTAATGTCCTCTTTGTTTTTCATAATCCTTTGTGACTTGACATTGCTTAAGTTGAAAATTACTCTCTCTTTTGCTCTAATTTTTGTGTAAGCCTGGGAATTATTGTGTTAACTTGTGCTGCACTTTACCCTGTATATTTTAGGCTTGGGATGATGTTGTACGTAAAGAAAAACCTAAAGAAGATGCATATGAGTATAAAAAGCGTTTAACATTAGACCATGAGAAGAGTAAATTGAGCCTTGCTGAAATATATGAACAAGAATACATCAAACTTAACCAGGTAAGGAGGCCTYCAAGGCAATGCTATTATTATGAAAGGAACGAAAGAAGAGAACCGTTCATTTTGTGATTGTTGAAATCTTGAAATGGCCCTTSTGTCATCTCATATACGTGTGAGACAAAGCAAGCTTGGAATATTGAGGTTATGATATTTCTACTGAATGCTKAGGATCAGGAGGTTTACTTTACAATTAGACATTGATCACCATATACTTCTGCGTCGTGTTACTAACTTTCTAGCAATTATTATACAGTGCTCTACTTTAAAAAATGATTTCTTATTGATATTTTGAAGTTATTGATATATGATTGTGAATTCACCAAAGTAATCTCTGGTTAGACAGCAGGACAAGATCATAATYCCAAGATTAAGTAATTGAATTATGTCTTCACTTTGGGTCTGTTGAATATATGGTCAATATGTGACCATGCTTAAATGGTATTTTTTTCCTGCAAAGAGCCTTATAAAGTTGCTGTCAGATTCTATTAATTAATGCTACTCAAGCATTAACAGCAAACCAGTATCCTGAAACAYTGTAAAGTGGAAGAACTAGAAATATTTGAATAAAATTACTTCCTGGCTGCCTTGCAACCCAAGGCAGTAGTTGAAGGACAGTGTATATACAGCTTGAGTCAATGCTTGCTATCAAGTTTTCTGGCTACTTTGAAGAGACTCAATAAATAAAGGAAATATTTGGTAACCATGAAAGATAAAATGAAATGCTGCAACAACTTAATGCAAGTTGTAAAAATGATAGTTTTATTTTTCTCTTGGAAGTCGGTGGTCAATTATGTTTTTTGACAATGAACTTTGGAGTTCCTGTATATTAATTAAATTAGCCAGGCTAATTCTAGACCCATTCCATTAGAAGTCTAGGATGATGACCAGTATCCATTCTAAAAGTAATAAGCAAGGTGATAGTAGACAGCATGTGGATCAGCCTTATAGTTGTGTATATAATGTGGATCATAAAAATTAAATATATGATTTCACAGATATTATTGTCTAGGATGAGGTGAAAAGACACGTATAGAATTTTCTGTCTTGAGACAGTGTTTCACTGTGTTGTCCAGGCTGGTCCAGGCTGATCTTAAACTCCTGGGCTCACAATGATTCTCTTCACTCAGCCTCCCAAGGAGCTGRAACTGTAGGTGCATACCATACCTATACCTGTCTTTAAGAATTTTTAAAAAGTGAATTAAGTTTAAAAAAAGAAGCAGTATAGCATAGTACCTGGACAGGCGCCGATGACAGACCTCAGAAATAATCTGGATGCTTCTTTGGCATCAGGGTCATGGAGGCAGAGCACCAATGCTTCCTAGTTCTTTCATTTTCCTTCCTGTTTTAATAAAAACAAATAAACCAAAAAAATATTCTTTTAGAATAAGCATTTGGGTCAAAAGAGAATGTATGAAATTTACATTTTCTCCTCAGTAGAATTAAAATTGCTGTCAATTTTTTCAGTGTTGTTAATCAAAATAAACTTTAACAAATTCCATATAAATAAAATGAAAGAAGTCCCTATAGTCCAAATGGGTATTTGGATAATTCTACAAAATCTAATTATTATTAATACTTTAGTTCTTTTTTTAAAACTTCCCTTGTTGACATGATAAATAAAATTAAGTGAACAGTTCAGGAGCATTTAGTATAGTGTTGTGCAAGTTCTGCTTGTCTGTGCTTCAGWAACATTTTACTGTCTCAGAATAAGCTCACTTTTTTTTTTTTTTAAAGAGAGAGTGAGAGAGGAGAGAGAGAGAGAATTTTTAATATTTATTTTTAAGTTCTCGGCGGACACAGCATCTTTGTTGGTATGTGGTGCTGAGTATCAAACCCGGGCCGCACGCATGCCAGGCGAGCGTGCTACCGCTTGAGCCACATCCCCAGCCCCATAAGCTCACTTTATTAAGTAGTTGCTCCTCATTCTTCCCTCRCCCTAGCTCCGGACAACCACCAATCTGCATCCTATTCCTGTGAATTTAGTATTTTATTTTGGACATTTTGTATAAATGGAGTCATATGATATGTGACTGACTTAGCAGGTTTTCAAGATCATGGCATGTATCAGTACTTCTTTGTTATGGCTGAATAGTCTTCATTCGTGTGTGTGTGTGTGTGTGTGTGTGTGTGTGTGTGTGTGTATGTATGTATACATGCATACACACACATACATACACACATCTGTATGCCACAACTTGTCTACTCATCCATTAATGGTCATTTGGTCTGTTTCCACCTTTTAGCTAGTGCAGCTAGTGCAGATAGTGCTGTGTAAGTGTTTTTGTTTTAAGTATATATTTTTAATTATCTTGAAGGTATATCTAGGAGTGGAAATGCTGGGCCATGTGGTAGTTCTCTGTTTAATCTTTAGTGGAGGTGCCAAACTTAATGCCATACCATTTTACATTTCTACAAGTCATACACAAAGTCTAATTTTTTCATATCCTCACCTTGTTACCACTTGGTATTTTCCCCTCTTCTTTCTAAATTATAGCCATCCTATCGAAAGTAACTTAGTTTTTGAAAGAAATAAATACCAAGGAAATTAAACTGTAAGTTCTAAATGTCAGCAGTGTGGTTTCTATGGCTCCCAAAGGGAAAACATCCCTTGTTGATAAGTGCTTACTGATAACTTTAATTATACCTTTGCACTGTTTCTTTATAGCTGAAAGATTGGTGCTAAGAAATTGGGAATGTCCTCATTGGTCTTTATTGTTTTAAATATGATTTATTTTATCTTTTTGCTCTGATGTTGTTGACCTTATTTCCTAAGCAAAAAACAGAAGAAGAAGAAAATCCAGAACATGTAGAAATTCAGAAGATGATGGATTCTCTCTTTTTAAAATTGGATGCCCTGTCAAACTTCCACTTCATTCCTAAACCAGTAAGTGTGATAACAGTTCAATGTGTTGATACAGCAGACATGACTTTAATAAAACTTGCTGAGCTTTTGTGAAACTAYTTATTTGGTTTCAGAATTTAGACCTGAAAATTTCTCCCTGTAAATTACATTCAGGACCTGTATTCTGTCCCCATTCCTCCTCCCTTTATCTGTTATTACTTTGTTAGTTCTCTTTTCATTCCATAGTACACTTGCAAAGATTGGGCTGGTTGTTCCCTATTTATGTTCAGGTTGACACAAAATGTGTGTGATATTTCATTATTGTATTCCTCACCCTGTCCCAGTTCCTGACACAAGGAAACCCTCAAGCATTTTTTGAAATCTTGGGACTTGAAGGAGGAGTGAATGTGTATCTACTTGACTACAAAAATATATATATATATATATATATTTTTTTTTTCCTTCTCCCCAGAAATGTATATTGCCAGTATTGGTTCCCCCTTGATATTCCTTTTTTCATATTTAGATTGGTTTTTCACATGCTGTCTCTGTAGACTTGATTTACCAATCATCAGCCATCATTTTTTGTTGTGTTTATACTGTCTCTTTTTGCTTCATATTTTTCTTTAGAATAGAATACAATATCCCTAGTAAATAATTGAAAAATGGTCCAGTGGAAGAAATGATTTCTCTGACATTCTGACATTTCTCTCTTACTTAGAATCTAGGATCCTGCTGTTTTTCTAGCTTATTCTTTGTTGGGAATTTTCCTGGGGCAAATACCTTCCTAATTAACTAGAATATGCACAGGACTGTGAAAAGGAAAATGAGAGGTTAGAGGAGTTGTTAACCTGCTTTGCAATAGCGGCCTGGTCACCTAAGTTTCAGTCTTGTTCCTTCCCATACCCCAGTCTTTCCCTGACTGAGGCAATASAAGTGTCTGAAGTCATTCTCTTGCTCTTCATTCTTTGGTGTTCCTCACAGGGACAAGTAAGAATTAGATACACCAGCATGAGTGATCTTTCATTAGCATGATTGGTATAAATCCTATGTTAACTTTTGAGTTTCTTTGGTACTTTCAAAACAAGAAGGGGAGGTGGGGGACAAAAAACAGAAAGTAAATGGCTTTTGAGTTAGTGTTGTATTCTTTTCTCCTTTTCRTATTTATTATGTTTGATTTATTTTSATACTGCTTTAGTTTTCAGCGGTCYAATGCCATTTCATATTTATATTTATGAAGATTTATTTTCAGAAGCTGGAAGATGAGAAAAATTATTTATCAAATAGTCTGTACTCCCACCATTATGTGCAACTAAAATGCACCAATTAAAAAATGTTGGGAAAAAATAGTCTGTACTTTTACTCTTGTTCCCACAAGCATTTTCTTTGCATCTTTCTCTGTATATGTGCCAGCATTTTTTCCATAACCAAAGGCAAGATAATATTAACAGAAATCAACTTTTTTATAAAGTCATAGATAGGATTTTTTGAGAACGTCCATATAGGTGGCAGATGGGACTAGTTTATTGACAGATGAAAGAACTGGTGTTTGAATATGGCAGAAATGTCATGTGAAACTGTAGAAATAAATGCTATTGGAATGATTTTGTGACAAAAGACCCTAAATTACCTYATTCTCATAGGATTTCAGAGGCATCCTGTGCTGCCCACTAGTAATGTTACAATTCCAGTTAACTTCAGACCTTGACTGTCAACATATTTAACATATTAAATAATTTCTATAAAATATTATATATATGTGTATGTGTATATGTTAGGGCTATTTCTGACTTCCCATTAAATGTATTATCTCTCTTCAAGCCTGTACCAGAGATTAAGGTTGTGTCAAATCTGCCAGCTATAACCATGGAAGAAGTAGCTCCAGTGTCAGTCAGTGATGCAGCCCTCCTGGCCCCAGAGGAAATCAAGGTAAGAAGCCAGTGTTGAAACATTCAATATCTGATTAGAAGTTAATTGATTATTGCCAGATCTCCCTTTGTTGAATGTCATTTTCCTTGAATTTGTATTTTTTGTTCTAATTTATGTTAGCTCTTTCTTGGTACAGTCAGTTCTCCATACCTGTGGATTCTGCTTCCATAGAGTCAACCAACCATAGATTGAAAATACTCAAGGAAAAAAAAAAAATTGCATCTGGCTTGGTGATAGAGCATTTGTTTAGCATGTGTGAGACACTGCAAAAAAAAATTAAAAATAAATAAAAGAATCTATACTAAACGTGTACATACTCTTTCCTTGTCACTGTTCCTAAACAATGCTGTTTAGCAGCTATTAGCATAGCATTTATGTTGTATTAGGTATTATAAGTCATCTAAAGATGGTTCAAAGTCTAAGAGAAGATGCACATAAGTTACATACAAATGCTTAACCCTTATATATGAGGAATCTGAGCATCTGTGGATTGTGGTACCTGCAGTGATCTTGAACCAGTCCCTTGTAAATACAGGAGAATGAGAATGTCATCAAACTGATGCTATGTTATRATATTTAAACCCTAGTCTCCATCTTCACTCATTATTAGGAGGGACAGGTAAGAGAATTATTACAAAAGCAGTTTTAATTATCCAATCAGAATAATTATTTGTGATAATCAAATTCGAATATCAGCAGTGATGTTAAGTTTCAAACAGATTGTTTATATAATAACATTAATTTAATCAGCATCTCCCCACTTGTTCTATCCATGTAATGCTCATCAGCAATGAAATCTGGAGTAGAATAGAGCATTTGGATATTGGAAGAAATCTATGCCTTGTGAACATTGAAGCTCTTGCCTTATGTAATAATGATGATTTTTTTTTTTGGCCCTCATCTTCTGGCTGTTTTAGCAGCAGGCCTTCTGTTTTCCTCCTCATTTTCTTTTCTGTAGCTACAGCCATCCTTATGTTAATCTCWTTCCATCTGTATGCAGGTGACAACATAAGGCACCTAAGGAAAAAAGAGGAAATTGATCCTCACTAAAGTGAGATTTCCCTTCCCTCTCTGTCCTCAGTCTCTGGGAACCTTTGACCTCAGCCCAGAGGTTGTCATTATCATTTTATTGGGACAACCTCAGGCATTTCCCTGAAGCCCTTGCTGAAGTCTAAGTGCTGCAGAGGATTTGCTTTGCTGGTCTGTAAACTTGAGTATGTAACTCTCCATGCTGCCTGTGTAATTAGTTTGGAGGCTGAACAGTCTATGACTTTGTTCTGTCAAAGAAAACACTCTAGGTTTTAGAGTTAGTAGAGCTGTCTGAAACATAGGCAGGGATTGCTCTCTAGCCTCATGTGCTGTACCATAGACATACAGCACTTTGGCTACCTACTATTGCGGTTTCCTCTTTTTCTTTTTGAGTCCCTGAGTTGATATTAGGTTAGATTAATTGATACATTGGTGGTTATATTTTAATAGGAGAAAAATAAAGCTGGAGATCTAAAAACAGCTGCTGAGAAAACAGCTACAGACAAGAAACGAGAACGGAGGAAAAAGAAATATCAAAAACGTTTGAAAATAAAGGAGAAGGAAAAACGGAAAAAATTGCTTGAAAAGAGCAACCCAGATCAAACAGGGAAATACACGAAAGCAGTAGCATCAGAGAAGTTGAAACAACTGACCAAAACTGGCAGAGTTTCCTTATTAAAGGTAAGGGCAAGGGAAGGGAAACTACTGCAGAGACCTTTGGGAGCAAGTGAGTGGTATGCATTGGGCTGTCCCCTTTACTTGAGTGTCTGAGCCAGCAACACAACCCACCTGTGGTACTAAGGGGAACACTGCTGACTTAGCTGCAACATTAGCCTTAAGTGTTATTGAGTTATTCCTATAGAGTCCTCAGAGTAATCTGGGTCTTCTACCTGTTTTTCTTCCTCTCTCTTAAGTTGCAAGAAAGTTAGAGTAGTATAGAATACCTCTATGCTAATTGATGTATTATATTGTAATTCTAGTCTATTTTCCTATTTATATTTTAATACATTGTTTTAATCATAACATACTTTTATATTTTGGGTTGTTTTTCCATGTGATCATATACCTTATAGTATGAGCATGTATTGTTTTTAATTGCAGGATGAAGGAAAAGACAAGGCCCTAAAGTCATCTCAGGCATTCTTTTCTAAATTACAAGATCAAGTAAAAATGCAAATCAATGATGCCAAAAAAACAGAAAAGAAAAAGAAGAAAAAACAGGATATTTCTGTTCATAAATTGAAGCTATAGTATACTGTGAATGTAATATATATATTAATGTATAAGCTTATATTCTGTCATTTTTTTTTATAATAAAATTAATGAGATCCTTCTTTGCATTAATGGAGGATATTTGAGAATTCCACCATGTGCAATAACAAACTCTTAACACGTTTGGAAAGTCTGTCTGGGTTTTTCTGGATGTGAAGCAGGACCTAACTCCCTGGCCTTTCCTATACTGATGCTGCCTGAGCTGATCCTACTGAGCTCTGTCCCTCTGGATAGTCCAGCTCATGCATGCCAGCTAATAATCATAACTGGTCTTCAGGATGAGGAGGGTACAAAGCCAGCCACCTCCTTCATCCCTAGCTATCCACAGTAGAAGTCCATGCTGTGGTCTTGACTTTCTTTTCCCACTGTCATATCATTTAACAGAACAGTTACATTTTGATTCATTTATACCTTTTCTCTTTGGAAAAGAATCCCATGTCACCTGACTAAAGAGTTAGACTAAACTACAGATTACTGTCTGTAATCAGATACAGAGAGGACAGGTGTAATCTAAAAGTGATGGAAGTTCAGTACAGCCAGGAAGGTGAACTAAGAAGTCTGCAGAGAGCTGGCTCTGACCACTAGCTGCTCATTGTTTCAACCTCCCCATTCAGGAAAAATGTATTTAGTATGATCTCATATTATGATTTCATAGGAATGCATTAAAACCTAAGCCCATGTGAGTAGAGAGTGAGAACAGGATTCACCTAAAGCAACAGGGAAAGCCCTCTGGTTTAGTGTCTACAGAGGCCAGTATAAAAAATCYTGTGGAGGTTTGTTTATTAATGCAGAAGCTGTTTTCAGCTGGAAAGAACTAGGCTATACTAAGCTCAATTAAGCACCAACTCTCAGTCCTTTTGTGCTATTATAACAATTCCTGAGACTGGGTAATTTATAGACAATAGAATTTAGCTTCTTATAACTCTGGAGGCTGGAAAGTTAAAGGTCAAAGGACAAGCGAGTTTAGTGTCTGGTAATGGGTCTGTGCTTCAAAATGGTGCTTTGTTCCTGTGTCCTCACATGGCAAAAGGAAAAAAGGGGTCAGAATTCACTCCCTCAAGTTCTTTATCAAGTGTGCAAATCCCATCTCTTTGGGCTATGCTATTAATCATTTCCTAATAGTCCTATCTCTTAACACCATCACATTGACCATGAAGTTTCAACACATGAATTTGGAAGATTATAGCACCTATAAATACTGACTTGTAATTGTTTTAATCCAAGCGGTAGAGTGCTCGCCCAGCATGTGTGAGGACCAGGGTTTGATCCTCAGCACCATATAAAAATAAATAAATATTAAAAACATAAAATAGAGTTCACTAGTATACCTTCATCTTCTAACCAAGTACTTTGAGTATCCTCTGGTCTCCTAGGCTTAGCAAAGGTGATATTTTTCAGTGATGATTTGAGTATCAACATCGCTCTAGGAACTTATATTTTTGTAGTTCTTTTGAAGTTACAACTGCTTTCCAGTTTCTACTCATTACTGGCTTAATTCTCTTGGTTATTTTATTTGTCARGATTAGGTGTTGACTTGGAGAGGTGATTCATTTTATCTATCCAAGGATAGTTAGGTATTCAGAGTTTATATAACCTTTATATTTGCTTTGTGTTTTAATATCTTCACTTCTAGGAAAGATGTGTCAGTCCATTCACTTTTTCAATGTGATATTTGATGTATTCTACAGTTTATATTCATGATAGATTCTTGTTTGTACCAGAGGCCAGGCATTGTTGTTGGAACCACAGAAAAATCCTTCCCTTATTAAAAAAAATACATTGTAGTAGAATATTTATACACATCTTGTATATACATGAGAAATACAATAGGACATTCATGAAACTACCCTTAACCTGAAAACCAACACTTGGGCACCTCCCCAATACTTCACTCATCACTAGAGAGAGAGCTAAGGAGGAAATAAATGGTGGTTACATCTGAGTGGGCTGTTCATCATTCCTTTCGATTTGTATATATTTTATCACACATGCATGTATCTCAAGGCAATATATTATTTAGCATTTGCTAGCATTTGAATTATGAAAATAGAATGTTTTTATTTGGTTTATTTTTTCATTTGATTTCTCTCAAATTCATTCAAAATACAGTCATCCCTCTGTAGGTTTTGCAACTGTGGATTCAACCAATGCTGGATCCAAAATATAATAGTGGCACATGCCTGTAATCCCAGCTATTTGGGAAGAAAAAAATTGCATCTGTGCAGAACATGTACAGACTTTTCTTCCTTGTTATTCCCCAATAAATAATGCAACAATTATTTATATAACATATTAGGTATAATTCATCTAGGGATTATTTAATGAATACAGGAGASCATGCTTTGGTTCTATGCAAACATGACACCATTTTGTACAAGAGACTTGAGCATTCATGGATTTTGGTATTTGTAGGATCCTGGAGCCAATCCCCCACAGATCCAAAGAGACAACTATGTGTATTTGAAATTATGCATCACTTTACTGCTGCATAATATTGTATGAATATACTACAATTTTAYTTGCCCATTCTCTTGAACACATTGATGTCCAGTTTCCACTATGATGAATATGCCGTTTTGACCTCCTGGTCACAGTGTTAAAAATTTAGCTCTCATCTAAGAATAGAATTGCTAGGTGGACCTTCTAAAACAATGCCAAATTGTTTTCCAGATTAGTTGCAAAAATTTGCACTTCTGTTACATCTTTGTCAGTATTTGTTATTGGTGAACTTAAAATAATATTTTTGCCCTTCTAGTGGGTAAAAAATATTGCATGTCTGTGTGTCTCTGATTGTTGGTAAAATTGAGTATTTTGTCATGTTTTTTCCCCCCGTGTATTTTTTTTTTTTTTCATTTTTTTCAGTGCTGGGAATTGAAACCAGGGCCTTGTATACATGTTAGGYAAATACTTTACCATTGGGTTACACTCCCATGCCCCCTGTGCATCATTTTTAAGAGGTTTATACATTTTGAAATTTTAAAATTCCAGAAAATTCTAATAATTTTAGCCCCATTTGCCTCATTCTTTCTTTTTTTTGAACAAGTTGTATGGTCATTCACCTATCAATACCTGAGTATTTCCCAAGAATAAGGTCTTTCACTTACATAGCAACACAATATAATCAAAATCACGAATAAAATGTTATATAATCCATAGCTTATATTCAAATTTTGCCAATTGTCCCAATAGTGTCCTTCATAGTTTTGTTTTCCCTCCTAGTCCAGGATCATTCCAAGATCACTTGTATTTCATTGTCATGTCTCTGTTTTCCAGTTACCTGTTAAAGTTCCTGAGTTTTGTCTTTCTTCACTAACATTTTTGAAGTGTACAGATCAGATMTCCTTCAGATTGTGATTCGTATTTTCTCATGATTAGGTCTAGGTTACACAATGTGGGCAGGAAAACCACAGCAGTGGATGTCTTCAGTGCCTCATATAAAGATATTTTGTCCTAATGAAGCTAATAATGGCAATGATCATTTGATTAAGRTAATGGCCACCAGGTTTCCCCACTGGAAATTTAATATTTTCCTTTTTAATTGGTCACTTATGAGGAAGACACTTTGATGCTATAAATATCTGTTCCTCATCAAACTTTCACTCACCAATTACAGCATCAGTTGTTGATTTATTTCTTCTATGCAAACTGGTTGGCATTCTACTATAAGGAGCAGCTTTCCCTTCCCATTTATTTATCTCAATTTGGACCTGATTTTTATGTTATGTAATGCTTTATAGTTCTTTATCATTATTTGCTTTGATGCTCTAATTGTCTCTGAATTGAGCAGCAGAAGACCTTTTGAAGTTTACCCCTGAGTCCTTTTGATATGTCCCTATTGTTCTTTGAGCATTTTTATTTTCTGTTGCTATTATATGTTCCATTCTTATCTTTTACTTTCCTTGGAATCAGTCATTTTCCGAAGGAACCCATTTTCCCTAATAGAGAATGATATTTATAGCCCAATTTCTTGTGTCTCATTGCTACTAGGCCCATTCAACAGAGGCAGAAAACTATGATTGTGTGYTTATGGGGATAAAAGTTGGGGGAATATGTGATATGTATGCCATTCATGAGTTCATACCAATACCTCCAATTCCAATTAAACACCACCAAAAGTTACAATCTCGCTTTTTCACTCTTCCCACATTTGTAACACCTTTTTCGACAGTAAGAAAACTTGCTTTCATTATCTTCAATGTATTAATTTGCACAAGCCTAGAAAATACAGGAAGTGCTTTCAGAATTATTAACTCTAAAACACTGGGAAAAGGAAGAAATGTGTACAGTTAAGTATAATGTTCCATACTTCAATTAGTCCAAAGCTTTGACAGTTATTTTTCATATATTCTGTATCTTTACTGATTTTTTTTGGTCTAGTTCTAGCATTTACTTATTTCTTTCTGTAAAGTTTTTTTTTYT